TTTTTTTTTTCCTAATGAGGCCGTATCACTTACTTGAGAATTGCCAGAAAATCTTGAGACATGAATGGTAACGCAACGTTTTAATTGTTTGAAGACTAAAACATTGTGAAGGGCTATATTGCCGTCAATGAACCTAACGAATCTACTAAAACATTAACAGGCTAAAGTAGTGATTGTCTGTTATATAATTAGAAGCTTTTTGTTTGAGAGAAGAACTGAAGCACATTAACAAAAGTATTGATTGTCCTTAGAGGCGCACTTGTGTGGGAGAAAAACGTAACGTAACATAACGCATCTGGTATATTTCCATTGACAGTACGTGCTTATTTATTCAAGATAACGAAAGCGAAAGGATTAAAGCTCCCATGAGAAGCATGAGGAATTCTTCTTAACAAATATTTCCCTTCGTATTTATAAACCTTCTCGCAAACACTACATGTGCCTTCTGGTAAACAGGTACGCTCAATGTCAGCAAGAATACACAAAACCTTAAACATACACGTGGCATGATTGTCGACTCATGGATTGAACTGTGAAAGTTTCGATAGAGTAAAACTCGCGAGGTTTAAATATCTTCAATTGCAAACCGACAAATACTTGAGCGAATTTTTGAAATGGTTGGTGTCGATGCTTACTGTGATGGACTCCTTGATTTTTGAATATGCTGATTCGATGAATATCGTGTGTGAATGTTGTTGTGAATATCGTATGAATATCGTATGAATATCGTGTGTCAATGTGTTGCTTGTTCAGACTAAGCGTTCGGTTGCTGAACTCGTGGTTTCGTTTGGCAGGCCGACTGAACAGTGAACTCGTTGGTTTGATGCGTAACACGAAACGGATGTTCCGCGAACTCTAGGTAATTTTCACTGCTCAATTCAGTACACAAAGTCAGAACACTTTCTAAAATGTCTTACCTGTAGTATATTCACGGATTTAACCAAGGATGATTCCGATTTTACCATGATTTAATCAACAACAGTAAACAACACCATTGCAAGAGTCGAACACGTTTTTCTAATCATCAACATTCAACACGCATTCTCCGAATTACAAAACAGGGGGGTGGGGAGGTTAGAGCTAAGCATTCACAAACACTACGTTCCTCTCTTCTTTGAATTACTTGTCAAGTTGAAGGAAAAACAAAACAGAATAAACGTGATTAATTCTATATGCATGCAAATGTCTCCGAATGTCTTATGAAAGTCCTAACAGCGCTTTAGCACTTCAAACTGGCATAAACAGAAGTGTAACACAACAAAAAGTTCAAGTTCAGTTCACATCTGGGTGTAAGAGTTCTGCTCCGGGGCCAGCTGAACAGAGCCTATAACATAGTCCTGAAATCTAGACGGTAGTCGTTTGACTCTTGATGGACGTAAGGTGGACGTAGAATCACTTTGCCATGTAGTAGCATCATCTGATGGTTTGCACCCCAGTAGGTTTTCTCCACTTCTCATTCCAGGAGGAACTTTTACAGATTCTCTGAACTCTTGGTTTGGTGAAACTGGTGTCACTCCTTGAGCCTCTGTGGTATCTGATGATTTACTGGTGGCTTGTGGTACATTATCTCGCTCGAGATACTTTTTCACATGGGTCACATTTCGACGGTACTGTACACTATCGACCTCAACAAAAACACTATATCTATTCCTCTGAACAACTATAAATGGAGACTGTTTCTAGGTCGACGACAGTTGTTTTCTCTCTCCCGTCTCAACAACACCTTATCACCTTCTTGAATCTTGCTTTCATGTGCTTTTTTTTTTCAGTCCGCATACACCTTCCCTTTCTCTTTCCTTTCACTGTCGCGGTCTCTGACTTCATCTTCAACAGTGAACCCTTGCAGGTGGGGTAGTTTGGTCCTGATGCGTCTTCCAAACAACAATTCTGCTGGGCTAACCCCAGTTGTAGAATGAGGTGTACTACGGTACATCATTAAGAAGTGGTCCATCTCTGATCTCCAGTTACGACCTTCTGCTTGGGCAATACGCAGGCATTTCAGGATACTGCGGTTTTGTCTTTCAATCTCACCATTTGCCTGTGGCCACAAGAGCGTGGTTCGCCGGTGCTCAATTCCATTCTCTTCTAAGTACTTCTTGAAATAGTCACTGACAAACTGCGACCCATTTTCCATCCTGAGGGACAAAGGAAGGCCATGAGTGACGAAAATCTTGAACAGCATTGATACAATCTTCTCAGATGTAGTAGATTTGGCATATTCCATTTCAAAGAATCGACTGTAATAGCCCACCACGACAAAGACATGATCACCGGAAGGCAGTGGACCCAATAAGTCAGCCGCTAGATGTTGCCATGGTGCAGAAGGCAACTCTGTACGTACCATCGGCTCTGGTTTAAGCAGTTGTGAAACTAACTGACAGCCATGACAGGTCTAACAAACTCCTTCCGCCTCTTTTTCAATGCCTGGCTACCACACTTTGGTGCGCAAGCGTTGCTTCATTGCCACAGTTCCAGGATGACCTTCATGCGCCAGCTTTAATGCTTGACAGCGAAGTTGCTTTGGAAAAACAATTCGAGTTCCACGAAGAACAAGCTTTCCGATTGCCCTTAATTCAACTCGCACTGGCAGGTACTCTTTGAATTCTATAGCATGCCATCTTCCATTCAAAAGACATTCTCGTACACTTTTCAGCTCTGGGTCATGTTCAGATGCTCTCTCAATTTCATGAGTTGTCAAGGCAAAAGGCGTTTATTCTTGAGCTGCCCACTTCACATATTATTCTGTTTCGTTCTCGTCTCTTGACTGAGGCACTGGACGCAGGAGACGTGACAATGAATCTGCAATGGTCTTGGGCTCCGGTATTTCACTGTAAATCTATAGGGCTGCATCCTGAGGAGCCATCTCTCGATCCTAGCGCAGGTATTCGATGTGGGTGAGAAAATACATTCCAGAGGTTTGTGGTCAGTCATTAATTCAAAGTCAGCACCGTACAAATACATGTGAAATGTTTCGCAGGACCACACTATCGCTAAAGCCTCTTTCTCGGTCTTAGAATATCGGCATTCTGTATCTGACAGGCTTCGGCTTGCATAGCTAATAACGCGCAGCTCTTCTCCTTGCTGTGGTACTAATACAGCTCCTAAGCCTACATGGCTTGCATCTGCGATCACCCTAGTTGGGGCATTCTTGTCAAAATATCCAAGTGTCTCTGCACTGGACAGTCGTTTCTTTAACTCGTCAAATGATTGCTTTTGCTTCGGCCCCCACACAAAAGGTTCTGCGTTCTTTATAAGCTGGCGCAGAGGTGCGGATACTGCAGCCAGGTCAGGAATAAAATGTGCGGTAAAATTGACCAGCCCAAGGAAGCTTCTCACTTCAGCAGCATTGGTCGGTTCACGGGTATCAACAACAGCCTTCACTTTAACATCTGCTGGACCAATCCCACGCGCTGACAACACATGACTCATAAATACCAAATGTGACATCTTGAATTGACACTTGTCACGAGTTAACATCAACCCCTTGCTACTCAATACTCTGACCACATTCTCAAATCTCTTGTCATGTTCCTCTTCAGTGGGTGCATCAGTGAACTATCAGATCATCAAGAATGTTGTGAACCCCATCGCACTTTTGCAGGACTTGGCCAAGTACCTTCTGGTACATCTCAGGTGCACAACTTATACCGAACATGAGTCGTTTGTACCGGTACAGTCCTTGGTGTGTACCAAATGTAGTAATATCTCTGGATTCAGGTGATAACGCTATTTGATGATAGGCAGAGTTAAGGTCCAACTTGCTGAAGAACTTGCTCTGGTTCAAATCTTGTAAAACGTCATCGATGGTCGGTATTGGGTAACGTTCTCGTTTTACTGCCATGTTGGCCTGTCGCATATTTACACACAAACGGATGTCATCTGAGGGCTTTGGCACCACTACCACTGGTGATACCCACGAACTTGGTCCACTCACTTTCTCGATAATGTCAAGTTTTACAAGTTCGTCTAGTTTGTCACCCAACTAATCACGTAGGTGGAAAGGAACTCTCCTAATGGATTGTTCTACGGCTTGCACCTCTGGATCAATTGGAATCTTTAGCTGAAAATCCTTTAGTCTGCGAATACCTTCACAGCATCCAGGAAATGTTCTAAAACGCTGGATGCCCCTTTAGCTCCATCAGTCGATGCCTCTAGTGAGTTAACTTGAACTGGAGTTCCCAGCTTTAGAACTCCTACAGCAATGGCCGTTTCTCGCCCTAGAAGGGCCTGTCCCTTATTTTCAATAACAACAAATTCAACCCCACTCAGCACTCTCTCTCCAACAGAAACTTCTGCAGTAAATATGCCAGCAACTTGTAGTGGCTGATTACTACCATATGAATACAGCTTCTTGGAAGCCTTGCTCGACACACATTTAACCTTAATGGTTTTCAAATATTCCCACACATTACGACCAGTAACATTGCAACTAGCACCGGAATCAATAATCATCTCCTATTTTCACAGGAATTTTGCCACCACTTGAAACATTTGAATCATCTAATATGCCAAATGCATACTTACAGCCATCACTCTGCTGATCTTCGTCTTCTACTTGCCCTATATGATGGTGTCCAACACTCCTTCTTCCTGTTCTTGTTCTTGTTCTCCTTGTTCTAAAACAAATACTTTTTGAAATTCTGGCTTCAGAAGACTGTTATATTGATCTTACAGAAATCGTTCAAAAAGTAAAGCTGAATTTATTTTCCACCTAGTATGTATTCATTAATATATACTCAATAATTTCGCTTTAGTGTATCTGTAGTCTCTCGTCGTAACTTTTGTTAATTATTATTTGTAATATCGTTAGTTTATTAGTTGTCTTTAGTCATCGTTGTCAATTCTAGTCTCTTTAGTTCTCTTGTTACCTTCAGTTGTATTTAGTTGTACCTAGTTGTATATTAATGACTCGTCCAAACATGACCCGCCTAGATTAGCTCAGCTATCTGCGGGCATGTTACAATTGTAATTTTAATTTGATAACAAATAAAATGTCTGTATGTATGTATGTATGTTGCCTGCCCTACGCATTCCTCCAGCTCCTCGGCCTCGGCCATTATTTTGCTTCCTCTTTGTTTTACATACAGCCTCAAAATGTCCTGTCCATTACATTTCCTGCACTGTTTCCCTCCAGCTGGGCATCGGTGATCGTTAGCTTTGTGTCCCACATTTCGACAACAAAAACATTTAACGTTCCTTGTGCTCGAATCTTCTTTGTGATCCACCTTTCCACCCACACTATTAACCTCGTTACTGGCATCGCGTGCTTCTTAGCTTCGATCGAATGGGCCTGTTTCTCAGATTCTTCCATAGCACGGGCAATTTCTCTCGATCGTTGCAGAGTTAAGGCTTGACCCTTCTGAAGTAACTTTCGACGAAGTTCGTGTGACAAACACTTATTAATCACTTGATCACGAATTTGCTCCTCCACAGCGCCTGCATCTTCGAATTCACATGCTTTGGCTTTCTGTCTCAATCTGGTCACGAACTGTTCGACGGTTTCGTTGGCCAGTTGACTAGTTTCACGAAAACAAAGTCTTTCGTATAGAACATTTGCTTGCGGTTTGAAATATTTAGTCAAGGTCGCCGTCGCGTTCCGATAGTTATCCGACCCTCCTTCCTCTTCTAACGTAAAATAGATGTCTTGAATATCTAATCCAGCGGTATGCAGCAGTAGCGCCTTCTTCTGGTCGGCATTTTTGACTCCTTTTCCAGCTGCAAACAAATCAAAAGCTCGCAGCCATCTTTTCCAGCGTGCGAATATATACCAGCAGTTTCTGAGCATTCAGATGGCTTCAAAACCTGTGTATCGCTTGAATATACAGTTGACATCTCAAAAAGATCTACTAACGACCGTCTTCGTCGCCAAATGTAGTGTATTCACGGATTTAACCAAGGATGATTCGGATTTAACCACGGATTTAACCAACAACAGTAAACAACACCATTGCAAGAGTTGAACACGTTTTTCTAATCATCAACATCCAACACGCTTGCTCCGATATACAAAACAGGGAGGTGGGGAGGGTAGAGCTAAACACTCACAAACACTACATTACCTTCTGTTTATTTCCTGAATATGTACACGTTGCTTCGAGCACTACACTATCTACACAAGTTACTCCTTACTAGAATCTTAGAATCTTTCGAAATTAGTTCCAGATGTGACGTGGATTTCATTGTCAATCAAATTTGTCGTTTTGCGTCGACAATGAAAAAGGAACCCCGGCGAAACCTTACCGTGGCCTGCCACAGGCATCCCACGGAAAAAGGTCCCGTATGAGGGCCGTACGCGTCAAAGTGATAGGACCGGAAAAACGCGTACTGCAAAATCGATGCAAGTTAATGAGAAAAACAATTTTGTTGCTGCAAAATTTTGTTCTGTTCAAAAATGAGTGATAAAAGTGAGCATTCTGAGAGCGAACAACAAGCAAACAGGCGGTCA